ATATATATATATATATATATATATATATATATATATATATATATACAGTATATATTTTACAAATCAATTTGTTACTGGCCATGACTTGAGCCCTGTCTATGTCTACATTTCCCCTGCCAGTCCCACCAACATTTACATGTATATGCTTGTATGTTTGTGGTAGATGTTTTTAATCTTCCCTTTTTCCTTCGTTTTTTAAATGAAGATCCATTTTGCCTTGCGTATTTGTTTTTGTGGTTCAGGGTGAGACTGATCATTATGGTCCCCCTCCTAGCATACTTTTACACCTTCTAGTTTTACTGTAATATACCAATATGTATCCCTTTGGTGTCATTTAATGGTGCAATTCTTTTTTCTCTTTAACTGCCTTGTGTCAACTATTTTTAACTTTTCATAGTCTTGGATATGGCCCCATTTTTTTAGCTGGCTAACTTTAAAGTTTTGATGCGACATACTTCGGGTGGAACACTGTTGTCATTTACTGAATTAAAAACAACAAGCACTACCAGGTACAAATAAATTATCGGATTAACTTAAGATTGAGTGGAATGAATCTAAAGTAAACACGCTAGTCCCTCGTTTATCATGGGGGATCCGTACTGTGAAGCCCTGTGATAAGTGAAAAACTGCAAAGTAGGAACAGTAGTACAAGTAGTAGTAAGTAGTAGTTTATTTTAGTGGATGTATATATATATATATATATATATATATATATATATATATATATATACATAAAGGTGTTTCAAACAGTCCCCACACTCTTGCAATATTCTGAACATTGTTTCTAAACTCTGAACACTCTAAAGAGCACAGCATGTCATGAACTCAGGTGTGCTCTCGGCCACGCCCACTTCTCCGCTGCAGAACGGCGATCTTAGAGAAGGAAGGAGGAGCTGCAGGATAACGTTTCTTCTGCAGTGTGGGCTGCACACAGGTGCAGCAGGTGCTACATAATTGAAAATAATTCATGTTAAATAAAAATTCAATGCTGATCGTGTGGCTCATCCATCAAACAGCCAATTGTGTGTCATGTCCAGTCTTATTTGAAAAACCACAATAGAGCAAGTCCGCGATATACAAACCGCCAAGCATCAAGGGACTACTACTAACTTTGGGAAAACTTCATAAATTAAGAAATAGTTAAATATAAAAAACACCTATTGTACAAATGATTAGAGATTACTTCTCATCATTTTTTAGGTTTTCCATATTTACCTTAAATGTGAATGTGAATCCTATCTGTTGCAAAGCTAGAAGAATAGTTTACTCTTTTTACACAGCAGCTGTAACAACAGATCACTGAAGACATGAAAATGTTAGTGAAAGTTGCCGAGTTTAAAATTAGAAACACACCACTGAGAAGCCAGAAAGGAAGCTGAGTATTTTAACAAAAAGTTTTCATTGGCATGCGTTATTTTAAGAAGAATTCAGCTTGCGTTTTATGGTTACACTGAGGAAATATGTTGAATATAAATCAGAGTGTTATTGAAAAGTTTTACACCACTTCCTTTTATGATTTGCATTCATAGCTGATGTATCCAGTTTCCTGTCAGTTCTTTTAGGCTGCTAGTGTAGGAAAAGTAAATTAGGACACTGTTGAGGCACGCTGCCAGCAAGAATTAGATTTGATGAAAATTTTATATGCTGATTACACTCCTTCAGTCTCCACCCCACCACTGGTGATTATTAAAGGGGATTAATCTGTATTCATATTGGAGAAAGTGCTTATCTTGGAGACGGAGGCGAGAAGCCCAGCCCAGCCATGTCACTCTGGCTCACATAAAAGTCTTCCACTGCAGCCCAGAAATGTGCCTGAGCAAAGATAGAGACTTCAGAGGCCTTCCTGCTGCACAGCCTCGTTCCCCCTCCGCCTGCTTCTCCTGTCAGTCCTCACTCAGACAACAGGATTCTCAAATGCAAGTTTGGTGGAGGGCGAACAAAGAGACATGGCGTTGGCTGGAACTGAATAAAGAAGAACATGTCTGAAGTTCTCAGAGCTGTTGGTGTTTTAATCCTGACAGACTTGCAATATAAAATAAACACATGATTTGAATTCCACCTGCTTGTAAAAAGTTTATTAAATTACAAGAAATGCGATGAGGCTAAAACATGCATGCTACAGAAAATCTAAAAATCTGTTTCTCTTTTTTTTTTGATCATCTTCCATGATTGTGATACCTTTAAAATCTCGTGTTAGAAGTCTTCTGGTGTGTTGTGGGAGTTTCCTCTTGCTCAGATCTGTTGCTACGTCAACCCCAGAAAAACCCCATCTTTTGTCCAGGCTTGTTGTGGAATCAGTTGAATGAAGCAGGAAAAAAAAGAGGGGAAATGTTCAGACTTCTTTTCTTTTTAGTCTCCATCTGTGGAAAAAAATGAGCCAAATTACTAACAGATTTTCTTTCGTCTCCCCCTTTTTTTTTTTTCTGAAGCACCTCTCATCTCCCTTCATTTTCATCCCTTTTTATCACTGGTATGAGGTGATTTCCAAAACTCTTGCAGCTTTTCTGTATTCCCAGCAATCCATTGAAGTTCTTACATGCATAGAACGCTCTGCTGCTTTTTCATCGCAACAGTGATGAAGATCCCTCATTTCCAGAGTTTTACAAGCCACTGAGTAAAAAGGCCTCCTTTTATCTAAACATCTCTTCCATGGAAGAGACCACATATGTGGCTTCGGGGGTTTGCTTCTAGCCAGAGGACCAGTAACTCAGCTGCAATGCTTGCAGATAGAAAACTCAAAAGTGATTAATGAGCCCTCTGAGTTTCGTAATCATTCTTTGGCTGAAATTTAATAACAAATGTGATAATAACTCAGCAGCAAAATCAAAAGATGAAAGATGAAATGAGTTTTGCTTCTCGTCCTTGAAGAATGCATGACATCTCCACTAACGCAAATCAAAGCTGTATACAGCGCAAAAAAAAAAAAGTCATTATGTGTGTGGATAGATATCTGAAGCCAATAGTGATTCCATTAACTAGCTGAGCAATAAAACATGAAAATGATGTGTAGTGGACTAGGCCTACGTCGAAACTAAGTCTAAGGTCAAAACTCTTGACCTTTAGAACCTTGTGGGACAGGAACTGTCATTTCATGTATTTGAATACATAAATACAGGTTCACCCATCCTGAGACTTTCTTTCTTGAAGATTCAAGTGAAAAGAACACTCTCTTTTTATTATCATTACTATCTTACAAATGTTGATAATCAAAGTGTCTTAGTTCAAACCATTTTAGATGTTGCAGTGAACTAATCAATTTTATTAACTGAGTAATGATTTTATTCTCCTGCAAAGTTTATTCTCATGTCAAAGCTGTTACAGAGTTTATGCATTTTCTGATTTCTGCCTTTGAATGAGCAAGTGTGTGCGTTCCCAAGGTTGGAGTCAAACGAAAAACAAGTTGTTATGTTAAAACTGTCATGTTTTAGAATCCTCTCAGACGTAAATATAGATGTTTTGCACCTGTTTCTGAAACACGCCAAATCAAAACTCTCTCTGTCTGTGAGAACATTTCTGATCTTTCCATAACAATTCTTGTTTTTCGTCTAACCTCTTACGTCACAACACACACCCCGTCTGGTCGGTTCTGACCAATGGTAATACTCCCAAAAGTGAACCGGGAAACAGCTCTTTAAAATGTCAGTACTTCCTGGTCTACTAGGGTTTTGGTTCTGTTGAAGTTCTGATGGAGTGCTGTTGGAGTTCTGCTGGATACACAGTCCAACCAGTTCTGTGAGAGACGGGATGATCCTGACAACAGAGCTCTTCCGAGTTCCATGGGAGTATAACATTTTCCACTGAGGTGAATATGTGTCGAACAGAGCCTCGCCATTACTTCGGACGAGTAACAGCATCCTACTGAGACGCTGAAAGGGTGCGTTAAACGGAATCCCACCTGAGTCATCTCCAGGTAAAGGAGCCGATTTCATCACCTAAGTGTACTGTAAGGAAAAGCTGAAGAAAGCCGGAGAGTGTCGATTCTGGTGAACACATTTCTTCCCTCCCATACCATCTTAACTCCCTCTAAACTTCTTTCCATCTCTAAACTTTTCTCTCAAGTAGAAATTCTTCCAGATATTTTAGAAATGTCTGTGTAAAATGCTCACCCACATTCATGTGGGTAAAAGATCATAATTGTACAGTTTTCATAACATCGCTGTGGTGAAGCAACGGAAAAATCATGGCCGTATGATTTTTCCTGATTGATTGCTTTGTTGTTATTTTCATAATTTGCCAAATTAATGTACATGTTTGATGTTAAATTTGATTCTGTAAATAAATGACCGCATTCATTTTGATGGGTCAAATCTAAATGACGTCTCACGTTTGCATTTCCTTAAATTCAATGCACGTTTTATTCAGTCCAGAAAAATGAGGAACCCGCGTTAAATGATGAATATATCTGAGCATCTGTTCATCTACAGATGAACACATGTATGCTGAAGCACAAGGACAAACTGGACAAAACTAAGAAGAAAAAGGACACTTGCTTAAAATAATCAGGTTGTAATTTTTTTTTAATAACTTCATTTTATTCTCTTTCTCTCCTGTTTTTCTGACTTCAGTGACATTCCAGAGAGTTGATGGTGGTCTGATGAGCAATGGAAGGTGAGCCACTCATCAGGAAGACACTCTTTCGGCTGTGTTCAACATCACCAACAAAATAAAAGCTCCTCTTTCTTGTCTTTTAAGCCTTTGCGCTACGGTTCAGAGTCCACAACAAGCTGATAAATGACTGATACGTTGATGGATTACCAATACCTGTTGTGTGCCTACGATGCAAGACAGCGTGCAAATATAAATTTCTACCATATCTCCATTTATGCATCGATAGATGAACTCATAAATCTTTTCAACGGAATTAACAGAAACAATTTAAGCAGAGAGTGCTTTTATTTTGTCATTTATCTTCCGCTGCTAGCCACGGGCAACCCCGAAGCCCTCTGGAGTGATAAATTTGCCTGTCACCTTGCGTGGGCGGCTGAGATCTGAGCACATGTAATAATGTAAAAATAATTACCCAGGGGAGAGGTGTGCGTGTGTGTGTGTGCGTGGAGGTACCCCACTTGCACCCCCATACAGGCTGCTTCAATTCATTGCATGTTAGTGAATGAGATCAGACGGGCTACAGTGAAAAGGGCACACCCCAGTGGCACCAGTTACTGAGTCTTTGCAGGTATTCCAGAGACTCCCCTGAGAACCCTGAGCTTCAGTCGGTCTATCTGTTGCTTATCACATCTGACTCTGTAACACTGCAGATCTTCAACACTCACTGAGAGACTGAAACTAAATCTGACCTTGTTTGTTTTGGGGCTTCTGGGAGTGTTTTGATTCTGTGTCAGTTATCAGCGGTTTTATTTCTATCTAATAGCTTCTTTTTTTGTGTGTGATGATAACTGGATGCAACAATGCACATGTTTGCTGTTTTTTTTTTCAATCTCTTAATGAATTAGCCACACTACTCGCCGTGCTTTTTCTCATCTTGCTTCTGCTGTTGTGTTTTTCTTTCAATTTTCCACATAAGTGCTTCTGATTCTCATTCCGGCAAGAGGGATTTGAAACGTCTGTAATTTTGGCACTCTATATTTGTCGGTTTTATTTTGCATTAACGGTGACTCCCACGGTTTTTACAACAATAATATACGATGCAGCTTGGACCTCTAAAGCAAGCCTCTGATCTGTTAGTCATTCCGACGCCATCAGATCCCAGATGTTGCATCTTTCCCATCTGCCCTGAGAGTGAAAATGTGAAGAGGAGTACCCCCCCCGCCCCCCCCCAAAAAAAAAAATTGTGATAATGTGTTGCTTGGGATGTTTATTGCATTAATTAGACAACAGCAAATGAAGCCACATCTGTTTCCATTTTCTCATCGGCTCCTGCCAAATTGCTCTGACCAAACAATTATACTTAATCGATCACAAAATAAATGATTCACGGAAGACGAATAGGCCGCAGATTGTAGATCTCAACGATTTGACTTTGGCTGCTCAATTGAAATTGATAAAAAGCTGATAAGGGTTCATTCCTCCTTCTTGCTGTCAATATGAGTGTAGTAATTGGTAATAACTTCCTATCTCAGCCCTGATCAATGTTTTAGCAAAGCTGATTCACTCCTTTTGGCAGAGAATGGGCTGAGCCTTGGAGAGAACAGGTTTTATTAAAACTGTTGCTATAGAGATTCATTTTTTTATCCCAGGATCTGAATAAAAGCTGATGGCGTGTTCTTGAGAGCCAATCTATGAAGTAAGCTGTATATTTCATTGCTGTAAGTGTTAACTAATGGCTTTACTTTTAAGGCAAGTTCTAGTCACTGGTCTGAACCATAAACAACTGATTTATGACGATGGTTTGGAATTAATCTTCCTCACTTGGCTTATTTATAGCAATCTCAGAGTCAGGCATTTGTGGCAGTATTTATGGTTTTCTTCTTGCTCATCACACGTAACTGAAATGTCTAATAGGGAGAAGGAAATGCTTCAAATTGGATTTTATCTCCCAAGGTTGCCATCCATCCTATGCTGACAGGGATTAAAAGTAAGGTGTCAACTTTTCATCAAATGTACGACCCGGTGTCTGTCTCCCACCCCCTTTTCATTACCCCAATATAACATGCACACATTCAAAACAAAAATCAGTCTTATTTTAATCATCCTGCTGTGTGATGAATGCAAGGACAATACAGCCATTTTCATCATCCACTCTGTTGCTTATGAGTGGGCTGGGGTGTTGATTAGCTTTCTTACACGAAACAAGTAAGACTGTTGATGAGACAAAGTCAAGCCTTTATTCATTTCTATTTATGTCTTTGTTTTACTTGTGGCACTCTGTTTTGTACAATTATGCTGCAGTTGAAAGAAAAAAAAAGTTTTTTTTTAAATTTTTTAAATTTTGTTTTGGTTTTCAGCATGACCGATGCTAAGTGCACAAGAGGCAGCGGGGAGATGAGAAATAAGGAGTGAAGTTGTTTAGAGGAGAAAATAAAGGAAAATAGGGTTAGGAAAATATGGTATGGTAAGAAAGAATGATGGCAGCAGTGTAACATGTCAGCCAGAAACAGGGGTAGAAGTACAGGGAGAGATGTATTGCCCTATAAAAGTGCATGTGTCTGATGCACAACCATCAATTTGAATGACTTGTCTCCCCCGAGGGCCTGCTTTGGCATTCAGGAACCACAGTGAGGGCTCTTAGCTCGCCAGCACCGCAGTTCATTTGGACTCCTCCCTTTGTGGAACAGCTTTTCTCATTAGAACCGGTAGCTGAGGCAGAGAGGGACTGCAGCACACCCATTACCTGCCCCTATCCTCGGGGCTTGACTCGCTCCTAGTCCCTCAGAGCCAACACATCACCACACTGGAGCTCACACAATAAGCCCAATCAGACAGCCAGGCTGAAAACAAATGTGCTGCAGAGCTTCTCCGAGTCTACGTTTCAGTAATATGCTTCATACAACACTGTTAGTTGCTGGCAGAGGAGTATGTCGTGTACACTTATTATATTTTGTATGACAATCTGCTCAAATGAGCTTGATGTATCGTCGATGTTAGCACTTAATTTTGTTTGCATTTCAATCCATTTTGCAGGCAAATGCTGCGTTGAAAAACAAACACATAAACAAAAGCATTTGGCTGCATCCTGATTCTCGCCATGGTAACAAGCCTTAGACTTTATTGTACAGAATTGTGTCCCTAATGGCCTGCCAGCAGTCACCCATGACAGGTTAAAATCCTGATGGCTGCTTTTATAGTTCTCACTCCCTCAGGAGGGACACAGCACCTGTTAAATGGTAATGCCCACTCCCATGCACAGGCATCCCACAACCATCAGGACGGGTCATGACCAAAGGTTTGAGTCCTCATCAAAAAAAGATTTAAACTGTCTGGACATCACCACAAGGGGTTAATGGGGAAACACAGCACAATGTAAAAGATATTAATGAATAAGAAATGTTATCCTTGTGGCTGCCAGCATGTGTGTGGAAGGCAAAAGCATGCATTAACATCTCTGCAGTGTGCTTTTGCATAAATAAATGAACAAATGTGATGAAGGCACAGCAGGAAAGAGAGAGAGAGATAAAGGGCTGCGTTTGCCTGAAGGAATTTCAACTTTGTGAAGAAAAAAATAAGTATCTGGTTCTGTTTCCTCAGAAGTGTTTAATTTGGTTCAGGGGCTTATGGCAAGCTTATCTCATACAGACACACATTGTTATGAACACATTAACGTGTAAACATGTATTTTATCGTAGCTATGTGCTTCATTTTCTGTTTCCTGGAAATGCAAGTACAAATATGGGGGCAAAAAATGAAATATTGTTATTTAAATAATTCTTCCAGTAATACAGTTCTATAATTTCTCCTTTAATCGAGTATTTCAATCTGTTTCTGTTCAGCCGTCCAGGTTTGCTCAATGCCAGTGACCCAGGCTACCCCTGGTTAGCAGACTCTTGGCCAGCGACCAGCCTGCCTGTCAACAGTAACTCCGGGGGACCCAATGACCTGAGTAATTTTAGTCGAGGAGGTAAGCCCCCTGATGCCACAGTTTCTTTTAAGAGATAAAACCTAATGCCCCTGCCTTCCTTTGCATTCAACCAGAGCTTCTGTTGTTTGTCCTGCATAAAATGTAGACATACATGCATATTTCATATGTGTTTAGACACTTTTATACATCACGTCAGAAGGCAGCATGAACATTAACAGCAGGGGACTCTGCTGTCACCAGGTTGAGTGATGGTGAATGGTCCAGCTTGGTGTCGTTGCCTATACGTCAGAGCATGGGAATGTGAGGGGATAGACAGGCAGTTGAGAAGGGGGTTGGATGGGTGTTTGAAAGGATGGTCCTGTGCAGCCAGTCGTGAAGGACAGAAGCAGCTTGACTGGCGCAGATGTGGACACTTCCGCCATGGCTCTACATCATCTCCCCTTCAGTGGGCATGCAAACCATGCGCTATGAGGAGAGCCTGTTTGCTCTTTCCCTCTTCTCCCTTCTGTTAGACACAGACATTCACATGTAAAACACCAGCATCTGTGCCTCATGCATGGAAACATAAGAGACAAATGTCCAGATTGGATGTATTAAGAATATAATTCCACTTGTAAGGCTGACACTTAGAATGAATGAATGAATGTTTTGCTTGATAAGGAACTGTCCAGATTACCTGACCGAAAATTTTTGGTACAAAGTGATGTTTCTGAAAATTCAAAGTGATTTTAATCTGATAATGTTGTATAAGGATGAGTACTTAAACTTCACAAAATTCAGGGCTGGCTGTACCTTGTGTTTCTCTAATAAACTGCTTGAACAGTATTTTAATTTATGGCAAAAAAAAACAAAAAACTATTTTGATAATACAACGTGTCTGCTTTTTAAGTCATTATGACCAGACTACACTTGAAGTAGTCCAGTTTTTTTTTCCATAAGGACCCTAACTTCCTCTTTTTTTCCAGATCTTCCATCTGTACAAGGGGAAAAGACAGGCACTATGCTTTCTGATGGAGCCATCTACAGCAGTATAGACTTCACCACAAAAAACAACTACAACAGCCCTGGTCAAACATCCCAAGCCACTCCATATGCCACCACTCAGATTCTCCACTCTAGCAGTATTCATGAACTGGCCGTGGACCTTCCTGATGCCCAGTGGAAGGCATCACTGCAGGCCAAGCAGGAAATGGCCAACCTAGGCTACTCCCTGCCCGACAAGAACTCCTGCAACAACAGTAAGCCACACAGAGAAAGTGTGCTGCAGTGTAATAGCGTCGTCCTTCAAAATAGATTTTGATGATGTGTGATACAGAGTCATTTTTATGTACCATTAAAACTCAAAGCGTCTTTTGTGACCAATTTAACCCAGTTTACAAATTTTACAGTTATTGCAAAGCAGTCTTTTGTTGTTTAAACATTTCCATTAAAAGCTAAGAGGAATGCAGTTATTTTTTTTATTCTTTCATTCATTCATCCATTCATTAATTCATTCATCCATTCATTCATTCATCCATCCATTCATTCATTCATTCATTCAATCCTAGCAGTATTCATTTTGGTTTCACTTCTATGTTGAATGAAATCTCATGAAATGGTTTTAAAAAATTCTTGACTTAGTTTTTCATAATATTAGATGGATGGACATATAGATGGAGAGAGAAATTGATAGATAGATAGATAGATAGATAGATAGATAGATAGATAGATAGATAGATAGATAGATAGATAGATAGATAGATAGATAGATAGATAGATAGATAGATGATAGATAGATAGATAGATAGATAGATAGATAGATAGATAGATAGATAGATAGATAGATAGATGATAGATAGATAGATAGATAGATAGATAGATAGATAGATAGATAGA